GAGTCGAGTGCTAGTAATATTGAGATACTGATCGTAGGGGTACGTTCGGTACAGGATCATGTGGTATTATTTTCGTTTATGCCAATCCCCGCCCACTTGTATTCGTCAAGTACCCAACAGCAATTACTGGGGAAAATTTGGTGAAGCTGACCCCAAGCATCTGGACCCCAACCATTGTCAAACAGACAGACATTTCTGTTTAGATCAGTTAATGATCACCACACGCGCTAGTAACAGCAGGAGGCTATGAACACTTAAGGCCATATTCAAGAGCTGGTCACAATTATTAACAAAAATTAAATTAACATATAACATACAATTGTTTGGTGGCCCTCCTTTGACCTAGAGGGATTTAATGGTTGTCATGTTAGACAACCATTAAATGAAGTTAGACAGCAATCACTTTACCTTATACTTTGTCGCTCTCTAATATTAAGGACGACTTCTTCATAGAGCAAGGTAAAGTCACCCTTATATATGTATAAGGGTGACTTTATTTCTTGTATGTAATCTTAGTATACTTGTGTCCTTTGATTGTGTTATGTGTATGGTGACCCTGGACACGTGTTGCAGACATGTGCTTATGTTGAGTGGAGATCCGGAAGCCAGACTACAGCCAGAGTCCTGGACCCCCCTGCCCCCCCCCCCCGCACACACACACACACACACACACTGGACTGGGCAGCACCAAGCCTCGACCACCATATAATATTACGGATATAAGATCATGTTCCCAGACTGTGTGGTGGTCACTGGTCTGGCTGAGTCATCCTCTGTCTCCCCCTCACACCTGATACCCCCTCCCCCCACCCTCGCTAAGCTTGCCTCTCAACCTTACTGTAACGTTGACCCAACGTTGATCAAACGTTGTCCCAGTGTTGATCAAACGTTGCCCCAGCGTTGATCAAACGTTGCCTCAGCGTTGATCAAACGTTGCCTCAGCGTTGATCAAACGTTGCCTCAGCGTTGATCAAACGTTGCCCCAGCGTTGATCAAACGTTGCCTCAGCGTTGATCAAACGTTACCCCAGCGTTGATCAAACGTTGCCTCAGCGTTGATCAAACATTGCCTCAGCGTTGATCAAACGTTGCCTCAGCGTTGATCAAACGTTACCCCAGCGTTGATCAAACGTTGACCCAACGTTAATAACGCAGACCCAGAGTAGATTAAACGTTACTGGAAGACAAGGGCCAGGAAGGAGTAAGGTCGACCGCACCAAGGACGCGCCCGCCCGGTACCGTGTTCACTTCCCAACCCATAAACCTGCATTTAATCATTCAAATTCTTTTTTGTACTAACCTAATAACAAATTAAACCACTTAAAGAGGGGAATAAATGGCTTCGTATATTATAATATTAAAGTACAATCATATCTCAACACTTTGCGACGTTTCAGTAACAATGGTCACTCTTGTTCTCAGATTTATTTTGATGCGATTATCTCCAGCAGGCAGCAAGCCAGGAGGACAGCTCACTCAAGCAGGCACCAAGCCTGGAAGATTGCTCACTCAAGCAGGCACCAAGCCTGGAAGATTGCTCACACAAGCAGGCACCAAGCCTGGAAGATTGCTCTCACAAGCAGGCACCAAGCCTGGAAGATTGCACTCACAAGCAGGCACCAAGCCTGGAAGATTGCACTCACAAGCAGGCACCAAGCCTGGAAGATTGCACTCACAAGCAGGCACCAAGCCTGGAAGATTACTCTCACAAGCAGGCACCAAGCCTGGAAAATTGCTCTCACAAGCAGGCACCAAGCCTGGGAGACTGCTCACACAAGCAGGCACCAAGCCTGGAAGATTGCTCTCACAAGCAGGCACCAAACCTGGGAGACTGCTCACACAAGCAGGCACCAAGCCTGGAAGACTGCTCACACAAGCAGGCACCAAGCCTGGAAGACTGCTCACACAAGCAGGCACCAAGCCTGGGAGACCTCGTCCCACTGAGACCCAACAACACCCAATAGGTCCTCCATCATGGGCCTCGTCCCACTGAGAACATGCCGTTAACTCATGAAATGGATTGAAGACTACCTCACAGAGAGGAAAGCCAAGGTCTGCTTCAATGGAGCAGTCTCCAGTAAAATGAGTATGGAACTCGGGACCCCCCAAGGTGGAGTCTTAAGCCCACACTATTCAGTGTACTTATGAACGACATTGCAAATATTGAATTTCCAGAAGGAACACAACAAGTGGGATATGCAGATGATGTCCTAATACAAGCTCCCACCTTGGGAAAAATTAAACAGTCCATTGAACTCCTTGGAAGGAAATGTGTTGAACTTGGCTTCACTCTCTCCACAAACAAGACAAAAGCATACTCTCATCACAAGAGGAGAGCAAATGAAGAACTACAAATTAATGGTGTAACACTTGAATGGGTTGACCACTATCGGTACCTTGGCGTCACTGTCGGCTCTAACAAGGGAAAGAAAGAGGAGCTCAACCAACTCATAGGAACATGCAAAAGTCGACTCAGGGCACTGAAAGCTATGACCTGGAATGCACATGGGGCCTCTATTTTCGTGCTTAAAATGATGTACACAGCCTATGTGCGCTCTGTCATAGACTATGCCGCACTAGTTTTGTGCACCTACTCCCAAAGCAACATGAAAAGGCGGGAAAGAATCCAAAATGAAGCCATGACAATCATTCTTGGAGTACCAAGAACTGCCAAAACGTCTAATCTACAAGAGATTGGTTGTCCCTCCCCAGTGTTAAAAGGAGAATTAAGGAACTGAATGCGGAGCTTGCAATTAGGATAGCCAGAGATCCCAATTACAATGATATTGCCAAGAAAAAACTGAGTTCTATGCTACTTACAGGATAAGCAAAAAAATGGGATCACAGATCAGTTTGCTACCTCGAAGAACTTGACCTGCTTGAGCAAGCCCCTAAGCTCAAGCCTGTAGAGAGGTTACCTCCCTGGGTAGATGACCCATGCAGGATTATCATCAATGAGATAATCATCAACAACGAAAAACTCCAACATGATACCACGGGAAATGAGGCACAATTACCTTAGGAAATTTATAAAGAAGTCGGAAATGAATTAGATCAAATCTACACTGACTGGTCATCTAATCCTGTCAACGGCAGGGCTGGTGCAGTATACACTGTAATTAGGAATAATGCCTTTTTTTTTTTTTTTTTTTTTTTTTTTGAGATATATATACAAGAGTTGTTACATTCTTGTACAGCCACTAGTACACATAGCGTTTCGGGCAAGTCCTTAATCCTATGGTCCCTGGAATACGATCCCCTGCCGCGATGAATCGTTAAACTTTCAACGCAGAAATGAAGAAAAAGCACGTGTTTAGAACTGTGCCTCTTCAACGCAAGCAGAGCTAACTAACATTGTTATGGCGGTAAGATTCCTTGAAAGAAACACTAATGGTGCAGTGATCTGCACTGATTCAAGAGCAGCGCTACAAACCCTAAGTAAAATTCGGGCAGAAAATCTTGCGATAGTCGCTGAAATTAAGAGAGCTGTGAGGATACTAACCAACCAGGGAAGAATCGTCAAGTTTCTGTGGATCACCTCCCATGTTGGAATATGTGGGAATGAACGAGCAGATGTGCTGGCTGCTGAGGGCATTGGAGACCACATTGAATACTTCATACCCAAGACTCTTCTACAAATTAGAGGTATTGTCAGGCAACATCACCGCGACAAGGTAACTGAGGAAAGGAGGATAGAAGCACAAACCAGTGAATCTGTACGATGGTACAACATGGTTGCAGCTGGCAATACCAATCAATATTATTACGGTATCGACACCATCGTCGGAGTGTGGCGTGACAATTCCAGCGCCATCTATGAGTCTGCACTAAAAATTCCCCAGTATTGGGCGATATGTAGACAATTCCATCTGTTGGTGGTGGCCTGGTATCAGCGAATGGCTCCAGTTTCCTGCCTTAGTTAGAAAGAGAGGTCGATGTGGATGACCTCTGGTGGGTGGCATGTCACGATCAGCGCCATCTAGGTTGTGGCTGCAAGGCTTAATGTCAACTCCCCGGTGAACGAGTGTTAGCTTATGGTTTCCCTAGTGTACTGTCCATCTAATTAATGACGTTTTATGTCCTCAGAGGTGACAAATGGAGGCAGTTGTACTGAGGAAGGCAGTTTACCTTGGCCAGTCCATGAACCCTTCCCTTGGTCCTGCAAGAAGACTAAGTAGCCGTCGTCGATCTAAGCAGTGTGTTAGCTGCTGATATACGCAGTGTTGGTGAAGATCGGCATACCCGGGATTGGCAAGTGAGGGTTACGGAAAACAGTGATGTGCTTATCATGAAGTGCTGCTAGCAAGCTGCTAGAGGCTTCTGCCAGGGGGTTATCTACCCCTGTATGAGTTAGTTTGGGACGCCTGTCAGCGTTTTGCTGAAGCCCTCTGCCAGTGAGTAACTGGAGAGCAAAGGTTGGGTGTAGGCACATCGTGATACTGTATGAGTGGAATGGCCCGTGTAGAAGGTGAACTCACCAGTGTTTGCCAGTATGAGTGGACAAGGTACTGGGACCTTGGCAGTATTGGCGCTGCCCAATACTGCCACTATGGCGGTGTGTCCATTCACAGGATGAGTGGCGCTGCCCAATAAACATGCCCCTCGGGGCAAAATTAAAAAAAATACCAGTAACGCCGTAACATCGCTTCTCACTTTGCTGTCAAATGCTCCAAAAGAAGCGAGTTTTAAAGAAGCATTTCCGCCATGTTTGTCATAGGTTAATATTACTTTACTAAACCTTCAGTAGCTGCCCGGAAGAGAGTTAGTGGGTCAACGATGGGTTGAAACCTACCGTGGTCAGACGAGCAACAGTGATTAATACTGCCAGTAAGTGATCAACACTGTCCAGCAGTGATCAAAAGCGATCAACAATGATCAACAGTAGTGAACAGGTAAAAAAAATCACAGTGTTAATAACAGAACATAAGAACACGGCATAAGAATACAGAGAACATAATAACACAGAATAAGAACACAAAAAACAGAGAGGAATACACTCACCGTTTTCTTCTTGGTGTGTCGTCGCTTGTGAGGGCCCTTGGCGCCGTCCGCTGGGTCCCCGACCACCACCACCACAACCACCACAACCACAACCACCAACCACAACCTCATGGTTGGTCCCTCGTACCTCTCTAAGAGCAGCAGGTAGAGGTGGTTGAGGAAGGCGAGTACTGTACTCAGCTGGTTGACACTTGGTCCAGTGCGGTTGGAGACAGGTTGCGTTCCGGTTGACTGCCGGTAAGTTCCTCTTCTGTTGTTGTTGTGTCCAGGTACAAAAGTTCCACAAATCCTCGTACCAGTTCCAGCTTAAAGGTCCGCAGGTATTGGAATTATCGTCCTAGTACCAAAGTTCTGTGAATCCTGGTATTAACGCTCTAGTACCAGTTTGTTCACACAAATACTGGTACCAATGTTCAAGTACCAAAATTACAAGAGTCTTGGTGCCACTGTACGGAGTGTGTGTCGCCTGTGTGGACCAATGTTGTGTTGGGCGCCTTCACCAGCGTCGGTCCTGCGGTCAGCTGGGCCCAGCCTTCCCACACTGGCGCGAGATCTGCCACCCCAACTTGGGATGGAGCCTACCTTGGGATGCAGCCCACCTTGGGATGGAGCCCACCTTGGGATGGAGTACTACTTAGAAATTGTTTGCTAACCATAGAGCCACATTGTTGTGATGGCATGCAAGAGTGAGTGTGTAGAGCGGGGCGTGTGTGTGTGCAAGGCGGGGCGTGTGTGTGCAGGGCGGGGCGTGTGTGTGTAGGGCGGGGCGTGTGTGTGCAGGGCGGGGCGTGTGTGTGTAGGGCGGGGCGTGTGTGTGTGCAAGGCGGGGCGTGTGTGTGCAGGGCGGGGCGTGTGTGTGCAGGGCGGGGCGTGTGTGTGCAGGGCGGGGCGTGTGTGTGTAGGGCGGGGCGTGTGTGTGTGCAGGGCGGGGCGTGTGTGTGCAGGGCGGGGCGTGTGTGTGCAGGGCGTGTCACACAGGATACTCTTGTGCTCACAGATGTCACTTTCCTTAACATTGAACTTTAAATGGTTGATAAGAGAGACGAGGACAGACCAGTGACCATGACTGTGGGTGTGACACAGCTGACAGTGACTGTGACACAGCTGACAGTGACTGTGGGTGTGACACAGCTAACAGTGACTGTGGGTGTGACACAGCTGACAGTGACTGTGGGTGTGACACAGCTGACAGTGACTGTGACACAGCTGACAGTGACTGTGGGTGTGACACAGCTGACAGTGACTGTGGGTGTGACACAGCTGACAGTGACTGTGGGTGTGACACAGCTGACAGTGACTGTGACACAGATGACAGTGACTGTGGGTGTGACACAGCTGACAGTGACTGTGGGTGTGACACAGCTGACAGTGACTGTGGGTGTGACACAGCTGACAGTGACTGTGGGTGTGACACAGCTGACAGTGTGGGAACCGACCTGTGAGATTTATATTTATTTAATTTATATGAATTTATATTTACGTTAATTTATATACTTCGATAGCAATTTGTATAATGATAAGTGGACTGTATTTCTGCAATAATCTCTTAATCTCACAAATCGATCCTCTACACATTAGGGGGGGGTTTAATAGTTTATATATATATGCAGCCAATCAAACTACAAAATTAACTACATACATTGAAGAGGTTCCTTATCTTATAGTACAGCAGGTTAGTCCACCAGGTATAACTAGGGTGTAGACACCAAATTATCCTCTTTGAGGTAGCTTCCATATCACCCAGTAACTGGTGCACAAATCTTCCTTCCTCGTCTTGACCTGTCAAAAGTGCGCTAGCTGTGAAGCCAGAATCCTATATATGACAAGTATATCAGAGAAAACTGTACATGGAACATTGAAGACCTGGCTTAATTACCTTTAGTTTGAGGCTTCCACGTGATCTAACCGGGTCACCCTATATCCTGACATTAATGGCCATAAATGAATGATAAACGGGTTTCGGATAGACTTAACTTGAATTGTAGACATCGTGTTGGAGATGGTACCTTTGGTTTCCATAACACTACGTCCAAGTAAAATTAACAGGAGCCGTATTTGCTCCCGTGTGAGCCTCTGGTCTCAATATAAACAATGGCTGTTTAACACTCCATGCTATTGACGTTACTGGCCGACATTGTCCAGAATGGTAGGAGCCGAATTTGCTCCACACGTCTCGGAGGTGACACAACAATGGCTGCCCTTCTTCCTCCCTGACCCTGGCCTACTTTGTCCAGATTTCAGAAAGTGATAGAAGGGTCACATTTACTCTACTTTAATATTGATAATTAAGTTAATTTATATAAGATGTTTTTATGATGGTAAAGTCCAAAGACTAATGTATTTAAGAATAATTCCCAGCAGAATAGCTGGTGAATTATAATAGTATGTGGTGATGATATCCCGTTTTCTTTAGACGGTAATTCCACTACAAGTTACGTTTTCTATGGGTAACTTGTTGGTAATACAGCTATTATCTGTATGATTATTAAATGGTGTCGGATTTTCCGACATAATTCCCCAGGGGGCTGCTCACGGGTCGAAGTCCTATTTAGAACAGACGAACACCGATACTCCTCCTTCGAATTATTAGATTAATTTGATGTTAGTAGTTAGTAATCACACATTTGTGCGTCTGTTCGTACAGGACGGATGTCCCGTACTAGAGTTGCAGGGGTTAGAAGTCTAATGCGATTTCATTTCCCTGTCAACTCTTGAAAGGCTAATATTCAAGCCTTATTACATATTATTTAACCCAGAAGACTGGATGTGATCAAGTACTACAGTCAAGTATGATTCAGGGACTGCAGTGAGATCAGTGACATTAGATATAACTTGAAGTTTCTTCAGGTAACTGGTCACTGATATATAAACACTGAGGCCCATGGAATACATCTTGATTAAATAATAAATGTATCAAATCAGTCATCAGATTTATTGGGGTTTAATTTAGTTAATTGATTCAGAAGATTGAATAGCTCATCATTAAAGTAAAGTATGGTTCTGAGACTGCAGTGGGTTCAGTGACATTGGTCGCAGTGACTTGTAGCTGTTTTAGGCTACTGTTCACTGATTTGCCACTGAGGCCTCATGAACTCATCTTCAGCTTTAAATGATGATACTAACATCAACCTCTGTTGGTATAGTCAGCTGTAATCTCCTTAGTATAATGCTACTGGAGAAATATAATCAGCTGACAAATTTAGATTTCTACTGGTATTGTTTATCTGCAGGCATAGGTCTCCTCAGGCTTGATACTGGGCCTGAGAGTAATTTACCTCCTGCAGAGTTTAACATGGTTATGCCCTGATATTTAGTAGGGCTACCAATGAATTGATGGTAGTAGTCTGTCCCCACAAGGACAGCCATTTGGCATTTGATTTGCTCAAATTTACCTGCAGCTGCTTGATAATAGCTTTCCAGGTCAGCATAATCAACTTGAGATTGTTGTGACAAATCTTCACATTTCTTGATCTGTCTTGTTAAGTGGCCTTTAAGACCTGCAAGGGTTCTTTTCATTCTCCCTGCATTATCCATACTGGCTAGTTGGTGAAGCCTTGTGGGGCTTGTACTTGGGCTGCTCATAATACTGAACAAGCACTAATGGTAGCCTAGGGTAAATTCTGCACTCACTAGGCAATAATCCTACCTCTACTAGAGGTTAGCACTTAAAATTAATACACATTATATATATACAATCATACACACTAATGATTTGAGTGATAAACCAGTGTCACTGGAAGTACCTTTAGGTTAGCTCTTCTATATCACCCTAGGATGGTAGAGACACTAATTAATCACTCAAAGGTGTAATGATCATAAGTAAATTATTATATATACAACTCAACTCGAGTTGATAAAAATTACACCCAAAATAGGGTCTGGACCATTCATTAATGGTGTTAGGTTGTTCAATATAGTACAACTGACTATGGTAATAATGGGACTAGGATGAACGATAATAGTTCAACTAGTCAATGGTTAATATCCTACCCTGTTGTGGGTTGGCAATTAGTAAATATTATACTGTGATCACTAGTGCAATATATATTAAATAATTCTCTATTTTGGAGAAATAATATACACAATTATTGATAATAGCCTCTTAATTAGCCTCTATGAAACTTCTAATATTATCTAGAAGTATTAAATATTATTAGTGACCTCGCGAAATAAAGTCCACAAAATTCGTAGATAATCTCTCGCGAAATGTAACACCACGAAATCCGTGAACAATCTCGCGAAGACACAGTCACTAATTTGGCTGGCTTCTATATTAGCGCTGTCATTTCACGAAATAACACGCCACCAAATATCTGTGGGTGTGCATGAAACCGCTGACGAAGCTGAACTGGGCTGAGGGAGGCTCCTGAGCTCCCTCGAGGCTACGCTGCCGTCTTGACTGCTGGCTTTGTTTAAATAACACTGCACTAGTATATTTAATGAATCCACTGGTTAACTGGTTCATCCGGTACTAAGATGACCAAATGTGGGTTCAAAGGACCGAATAATCCGTCATCCGGTTCGAAGGACCAAATAATGTGGGAACCGACCTGTGAGATTTATATTTATTTAATTTATATGAATTTATATTTACGTTAATTTATATACTTCGATAGCAATTTGTATAATGATAAGTGGACTGTATTTCTGCAATAATCTCATAATCTCACAAATCGATCCTCTACACATTAGGGGGGGTTTAATAGTTTATATATATATGCAGCCAATCAAACTACAAAATTAACTACATACATTGAAGAGGTTCCTTATCTTATAGTACAGCAGGTTAGTCCACCAGGTATAACTAGGGTGTAGACACCAAATTATCCTCTTTGAGGTAGCTTCCATATCACCCAGTAACTGGTGCACAAATCTTCCTTCCTCGTCTTGACCTGTCAAAAGTGCGCTAGCTGTGAAGCCAGAATCCTATATATGACAAGTATTTCAGAGAAAACTGTACATGGAACATTGAAGACCTGGCTTAATTACCTTTAGTTTGAGGCTTCCACGTGATCTAACCGGGTCACCCTATATCCTGACATTAATGGCCATAAATGAATGATAAACGGGTTTCGGATAGACTTAACTTGAATTGTAGACATCGTGTTGGAGATGGTACCTTTGGTTTCCATAACACTACGTCCAAGTAAAATTAACAGGAGCCGAATTTGCTCCCGTGTGAGCCTCTGGTCTCAATATAAACAATGGCTGTTTAACACTCCATACTATTGACGTTACTGGCCGACATTGTCCAGAATGATAGGAGCCGAATTTGCTCCACACGTCTCGGAGGTGACACAACAATGGCTGCCCTCCTTCCCCCCTGACGCCTGGCCTACTTTGTCCAGATTTCAGAAAGTGATAGAAGGGTCACATTTACTCTACTTTAATATTGATAATTAAGTTAATTTATATAAGATGTTTTTATGATGGTAAAGTCCAAAGACTAATGTATTTAAGAATAATTCCCAGCAGAATAGCTGGTGAATTATAATGGTATGTGGTGATGATATCCCGTTTTCTTTAGATGGTAATTCCACTACAAGTTACGTTTTCTATGGGTAACTTGTTGGTAATACAGCTATTATCTGTATGATTATTAAATGGTGTCGGATTTTCCGACAGACAGTGACTGTGGGTGTGACACAGCTGACAGTGACTCTTGGTGTGACACAGCTGACAGTGACTGTGGGTGTGACACAGCTGACAGTGACTCTTGGTGTGACACAGCTGACAGTGACTGTAGGTGTGACATGGCTGACAGTGACTCTTGGTGTGACACAGCTGACAGTGACTGTAGGTGTGATACAGCTGACAGTGACCACTGTCACTGTACACTGGCAAGTGTAATAATCAGGTCACTATCACCTGCATTTAAACGACATATTTCCGTTTATTCTTAGCGTCGCCCCACTTGCGGGTAATGGAGCCCAGATACTGGTGACGGCTTCCTGTCCCCTGGCGAGGATAGGCTTCCTGGTCACACCTGCCACCACACACCCGTCACACCACACACCCGCCCCGCCACACACCCGCCCTGCCACACAACCGCCCCACCACACACCTGCCACACCACACACCCGGCACACCACACACCCGCCCCGCCACACACCCGCCCCGCCACACACCCGCCCTGCCACACAACCGCCCCACCACACACCTGCCACACCACACACCCGGCACACCACACACCCGCCCCGCCACACACCCGCCCCGCCACACACCCGCCCTGCCACACAACCGCCCCACCACACACCTGCCACACCACACACCCGGCACACCACACCCGCCCCGCCACACACCCGCCCCGCCACACCACACACCCGGCACACCACACACCCGCCCCGCCACACACCCGAGACACCACACACCTGCCCCACCACACACCCGCCCCACCACACACCCGCCCCACCACACACCCACCACACCACACACCCGCCACACCACACACCCGGCACACCACACACCCGCCCCACCACACACCTGCCACACCATACACCTGCCACTCCCCTCGCCATACAGCACACACACAGAACTGAGTATCATCGAAGAGCCTACAAATCTGGTACACAAATGCTGATGGAATGTCCAGCAAAGTAGATGATCTGAGAGAAAGTAAGAACTGGTGAACCGAACCATGACGTAATGGCAATAGTAGAAACTAAATAACTTAAATGATCACTAATATAATATTCCCCAGACGATGTGAGACAAGAAGAGAAAGCAGAGGGTAATTGGGAGAGTGACACTACTCGGCTGAAGAAATAAGCGGTCTGAACAGATAAATGTTTAGGAGGATACCAATAATGCAGATTATCTCACAGGGATTATTTCAGAGCTTATATATTCTGTTTACACCAGAATGTAAACAGCAAAATATATCATACAAAGTACGGTGAATCATCTGTTACATGCAGAGGGATGCTACTAGTAAGGAGAATATTTCAGTCCTGAGCAAACTAATTAGGAACCAATAGATATAAGACGATGAGAAGAAATATGTAGAGAAAAATTGATAGAGGTTGCGGGAAGAAACTTCCGGACACTCCACGTTAGGGAGACACCAGAGACCAGCAGGACTGGACCAGTACCCTCATTTTTTTTTTCCCTGTCCCATAGCAAGGATAGGCTTCCCTGGTCTTCCGGCCACACCTGCCACTACACACCCGCCTCACCACACACCCGTCACACCACATTATGTGTGGTGGATGCCCTGCCACACAACCAGGCATAGATGAAGGGAAGGATGGAGGATGGAGAGGCATAGATGAAGGGAAGGATGGAGGATGGAGAGGCATAGATGAAGGGAAGTTTAGAAGTGGGAAATACAGTGAGAGGCATGAAAGCAGGCGGACTGTCCGCCTTGCTCACCCTCAAGTGACCATCGACTGTTACCAGGTGAATATGTTGTTATTGTGACGGCTGATGGCAGGAGACGAGGGTAGCAGAGTGTTCCCCACACTACACCTGCGCCTTGTTCACTTCCCCACACTACACCTACGCCTTGTTCACTTCCCCACGCTACACCTGCGCCTTGTTCACTTCCCCACACTACACCTGCGCCTTGTTCACTTCCCCCACACTACACCTGCGCCTTGTTCACTTCCCCACACTACACCTGCGACTTGTTCACTTCCCCACGCTACACCTGCGCCTTGTTCACTTCCCCCACACTACACTTGCGCCGTGTTCACTTCCCCACACTACACATGCGCCTTGTTCACTTCCCCACGCTACACCTGCGCCTTGTTCACTTCCCCACGCTACACCTGCGCCGTGTTCACTTCCCACACAGAACACGGGCCGTGTTCACTTCCCACACAGAACACGCGCCGTGTTCACTTCCCACACAGAACACGGGCCGTGTTCACTTCCCACACAGAACACGCGCCGTGTTCACTTCCCACACAGAACACGCGCCGTGTTCACTTCCCACACAGAACACGCGCCGTGTTCACTTCCCACACAGAACACGGGCCGTGTTCACTTCCGCCACAGAACACGGGCCGTGTTCACTTCCGCCACAGAACACGGGCCGTGTTCACTTCCGCCACAGAACACGGGCCGTGTTCACTTCCGCCACAGAACACGGGCCGTGTTCACTTCCGCCACAGAACTCGGGCCTCACCTCACAAACAACACGCGACTGCCTGGTTCACGCCGCCAAACTAGTGATGGACTGGCGGGGTGTGAGTGATGGATGACCGCACGCGCGTGTGTGTATGTGTGTGTGAGCCTTGGGTCCAGCTGCACCACCTCCGCCACGCTTCACCGTCACCACTGCACTGACCCGACTCCCCGCCCCACACCTCCGCCAGCCCCCACACCACGGCCACTACCCCCTCCATCTCACAACACTACTGCCACTACCCCCACATCCCCAGGCCCCGCCGGGGACCTCGATATAAGTCTAACGTGTATGAATACACTCGGGCTGCCTGTCCTCCGACACAATACCCTGTACTAAGCCCACAAACATAGGATTATGCCTATATAAAGTGGTAGGAGTGAGTGCCTACAGAGATACAAAGCCAGTGTTCTCAACGCTTATATTCGTCGTGGCCTCACCCACTGCTCTGAATGGAGCAAGGTGAGTAGGGAGTGTGAAAGGACAACACAAGTACTGGTGAACAATGGCTATAGTGACCACCAGATCAACACTACTTTAACACGACACTACGACCGGTGGTACAACTCTGAACCAAGAACAGAAACCACAACACCTAAAATATAATATTACAAATCCACCATGAACAGTGAATATAAGCGTAAAGAATAATGCAAGAAATAATCCTTACAAGAGTAAGAAGCACAACTCCTTAACCAAAGCACAGACATCATCATATTCTATAAAACAAAGAACACTACCGACCACCTCATTAAAAACAGCTTGAAGCCGACGGAGAACCCTTTATAGCAGTCAAACGTGGTATATATGTCCACCTGCCCCCCACGAAGGATGTAGCCTTCAATCTAAGTACATAGGTATGACGTCGACCAAGCTGACGAGGCGTTTGACCTGTCATCTTCAATCAGGTGCCCCTAAAAGTCTAATGAGACAAGCCTATCATTATTATTAACATCTTTATTGTTGTAACTCCCAGAGAGTACACCCATGACTCACCATGGGAACGTCCTGGTAAGGTCAGCCTGTGACCTCAGATTCTGCTAGAGTTAATTGAAATATTTTCTGGCTCCTCCCTAGTCAGCTTTTTCCTGTCTATGAATAATCCTGATAGTCTTGGCAAACAACTTAATGGTACATCTTGAGTGCTTTTTTGCACACCATAGGGAGCTGACGCCCTGATGTGCTGACGAACTATTTAGGTGTGCAAAACACTTCTTCCCGTGTAGGCTGAATCAGCTGGGAGCAGGACCACACCAGACTTTCCCACAACAGTATAAAACGCCCCCCCCCCCCCTCCTGATTCGGTTGTATATATACCCCTGTATGATAGTTAGAAAGAGAGAGAGTGGTGAGGGGCTAGAGGACAAGAGGCAGTGTGGGCTGCAGGTCACCAAGCGGGCCTCAGGAGACTCACCCAGGTCACCGGATCAGGACATTAAAAGGTATTGTGTATGATCTCTGATGGTATTTTTCCATGTCTAAATTACTTAACGTTTTGCCAGTGTTAGAGTAGGGACTTATAGTTGGTGAATATCATTTCATTCTCAATAATCTCATGTTAAACTTTCCGTCTGTGTCAGTTGTTAGATCCTCTTATCATCTGGATATCTGTAATTAATGATAGTAAGCTAAAAGAGGACTCTCCAAGTCAAGCAATGTTTCTTGCCTCATTGCCTGACATAGTAAAGGGACAGGCAGGATGGTGGGTATGATCTAATTAACAAGTTCCCTGGGTAGCATTTCCTTGGAAAGTTACCATTGGTTCCGGTTGTAATCATCCGTGGTACTCCATATTTCAATTCCTATTACATATCTAAATTACCAGAATTTCAGTAACTAATATCATCAAGGCCTTTATCAATTTGTATGAAGAGTTACCAAGTGCAACCAGTAGGAAGTGCTACTATATATAAGTGATACAATACACTAAGGGTACTATATATTTTACAATATACTTAAGTGTTCACAACATGGACGACGCCATCTAGTGGTGGCAGGATGACACCAGCAAGAGGCGCTAGTTTCCTGTCATGGTCAGCTCGAGAGGTAGCTGGTGCTGACCTCTAGTGAGGTGGCGCCTAGAATATCAGCGCCATCTATTGTAGGAGGAGTTGTATGTCTATGTCAGAGTCCGTAAGTGATGTTTCCTAGTGTCCCATGTACTGACCAGTATACTGATGACGTGTCTGTATCCACAGAGTCGACGTAGGGCTGCGGTGGTACGAGGACAGTCAGTCTACCCAGGGCAGCCAATATCTCTCTACTCCATTCTGCTTTACGGAAGCAGTGAGCCGCCGCCGAAGAACTGTGTAGTGTTCTTAGTGTAGTGTTCACAGTGTAGTCTGCCTGTGAAGTGGCAGTGACGGAATTCGGCGTATCCCGGGACTGGCTAGCAGAAGAGAACACTGACAGTAAAGTGCTACGGAGGAGTGTAACTAGCTAGTTGCAAGAAGCTCCTGCCAGGGGTTCGCTACCCTTGTATTTGTTCGTGAAGAGGCCCAGCAGCACGAGGCTGATGTTCTCTGCCAGCCCCAGGCTGGAGAGTGATTGTGGGCGTTCACAAGGAGCACCTAGTGAGACTGTGTATAGGCTGGCCCATGGCTAGGGTAGACGCGTTGGTGTTTCCCAGTACTGGTTGAGGACGGTACTGTGTGTTGAGGAAACACGGAAGCTAACAAGACTGCATCGATTGAGCATCGAGGAGCGCTTAGTGTCCTATGAGAGAGACACTTGTGTATATATTAAGTGTAGTAATACTTCCTTTAGGATTATATATAAGGTGGTGGGAAAGTGAATATATTGATAATTGATGAAGTGTCGTATTCAATGCAACATCCCCCCCCCTTTGTGTTTTACTCGCATTACCTGGTTGATACCTGGTTGATGGGGTTCTGGGAGTTCTACTCCCCAAGCCCGGGCCGAGGCCAGGCTTGACTTGTGAGAGTTTGGTCCACTAGGCTGTTGCTTGGAGCGGCCCGCAGGCCCACATACCCACCACAGCCCGGTTGGTCCGGCACTCCTTGGAGGAATAAATCTAGTTTCCTCTTGAAAATGTCCACGGTTGTTCCGGCAATATTTCTTATGCTTGCTGGGAGGACGTTGAACAACCGCGGACCTCTGATGTTTATACAGTGTTCTCTGATTGTGCCTATGGCACCTCTGCTCTTCACTGGTTCTATTCTACATTTTCTTCCATATCGTTCACTCCAGTACGTTGTTATTTTACTGTGTAGTTTTGGTACTTGGCCCTCCAGTATCTTCCAGGTGTATATTATTTTATATCTCTCGTCTTCTTTCTAGTGAGTACATTTGGAGGGCTTTGAGACGATCCCAATAATTTAGGTGCTTTATTGCGTCTATGCGTGCCGTATATGTTCTCTGTATTAAATTACCGAGCTCACTCCTTGAAAGCCACTACTAACTTGGGGCCGGATACCAGAACTTTAGTTCCACCAACAAAGAACCCGGTTGCGACCCATTGTGGCCGTAACAGAAGCAACAATATAGTGTTCTAGCAAATGCATTAAAGGTTTGTCACAGTTTACAATGTGAATATTCGGGTAGTGGCTCAGCCTCACTAACCTGCCAGATGTGCCTATAGCCAAGGCGAATTTCCACAAATGACTACATCACATTGCCTGGTCCGGTTAGTTTGTCCAGGTCTTCTTGAAGCCTCATTCTGTCCTCTTCTGTCTTAATCCTTCACATAATTTTGGCGTCGTCAATAAACATTGAGAGGCATGAGTCTATACTCTCTGAGAGATCATTTACGTATATCAGAAACAGGATAGGTCCAAGTACAGAGCCATGTGGGACTCCACTGATGACTTCACGCCAATCTGAGATCTCACCCTTCACAGTAACTCTCTGTTTACTATTGCTTAGATATTTCCTTGTCCACTGGAGCACCTTACCAGTTACTCCTGCCTGTTTCTCCAGTTGTGTCAAAGTTGGTAAATGGTACTGTGTCAAAGGCTTTCCGACAGTCCAAGAAAATGTAGTCTGCCCAACCTTCTCTTTCTTGATTAATCTTTGTCACCTGATCGTAGAATTCTGTTAGACCTGTGAGGCAAGATTTACCCTCCCTGAACCCATGTTGATGGGTTGTCACGAAGTCCCTTCTCTCCAGATGTGTTACTAGATTTTTTCTCACGATCTTCTCCATCACCTTGCATGGTATACAAGTTAAGGACACTGGCCTGCAGTTCAGTGCCACTTGCCTGTCACCCTTTTTGTATATTGGGACTACATTAGACGTCTTCCATATTTCTGGTAGGTCACCCGTCTCCAGGGACCTACTATACATTATGGAGAGTGGCAAGCAAAGTGCTTCTGCACACTCTTTCAGTACCCATGGTGAGATTCCGTCTGGACCAATTAGCCTTTCACACGTCCAGATCCAACAGATGCCTCTTTACCTCCTCAATGGTAATTTTGAACACCTCCAAGGCCTCCTCCTGGAGAGGTGCCACCTCTCCTAGCTCAAGGACTTCATCTCGTTCTATTGTGAAAATCTGGAATCTCTTGATGAGTTCTTCACACACCTCTTTGTCATTCTCTGTGTACCTGTCCTCATCCGTTTTAAGTTTCATCACCTGTTCTTTCACTGTTGACTTCCTCCTGATGTGGCTGTGGAGCAGCTTTTGTTTGGTCTTGGCTTTGATTGCTAAATCATTTTCATACTGCCTCTCTGCTTCTCTTCTCACACAAACATACTCATTCCTGGTTCTCTGGTATCTCTCTCTGCTTTGTGTTGTTCTGCTATTTTGGAAGTTCCTCCACGCCCTTTTGTTCCTTTCCTTTGCTTCCATACAAGCCCTATTACACCATGGATTATTCTTTTGCTTCTCATTATTTTTTTCCTTTTGGGCGGGGATAAACCTGTTTACTGCCTCCTGACACTTTTGGGTGACACAGTCCATCATGTCTTGTACGATCTTAGCTCTGAGTTCTGTGTACCATGGTATTTCTCTTAGGAATTTTCTCATCTCATAATTTCACTTTCGATACACTAGCCCCTTGTTTTCTAGTTCTTTTGGGGGGAATATGACTCCTAGCTCTACCAGGTACTCAAATATCAGTACACTGTGATCACTCATTCCCAAGGGGGCGATGAATGTGTGTACTCACATAGTTGTACTCACCTAGTTGTGCTTGAGCT